TTATAAATTTATTAAAATAAAAAATTAAAAAATAAGTATTTACCTGACTCCATGAATAGCTGTCATGTCCTGATGTCTAAAAGAGGTTTCAAGGATACATTTCACATGGCGCTGAGCTCTTGGCTGTCACCGCCAATCATTTTTAGTTCAGTAATTTTTATTATATGATATGTTATTACATGTCATAATAAATATATTATTTTTAAATGTTTTAAAGTTAAATATCACTTAATTGATAAAAGGATTAAAATTGTATAATTTTTAAAATAAAAAAAATATAAAAAATAATTAAAAAATAAAAATTATATCACATTATAAAATTATAAAACTAAAATTAATATTCAAGCAAGTGAAAACCAACTATCAAAATGATTTAATTTTTGGTTCTGTAGTAAAAACATTAAGATGAATTCCTGAACTGTCAGTACGTACCAATAACTAACCTTTAAAGCTGTCCCATCTTGAGGCCACTCCTGTCATTTGCGTTGTCTTCTACAGCTGGCTTCGATTGAGTCTTCTTCTTCCTCTTCTTCTTCTACTTTTTTTTTCTTTTTTTTTTTGAACGTGTAGAAATTTAGCGGAAGGGAATTGATTTTACAAAAATAAGAATTAAGTTTTTAAACAGATCTAAACACCAAAAAAAAAAAAAAATCTCCTAAAATTAATTTCCTCTTCAAACAACTCCAAACGAAACCTTCTAAAACATTATTTATAAACAAAAGTATGTGAAATAAAAATTTTTCTAGAGTGAGAATATGTGGCTTTTGAACTCATAAGCCTGTGGTCACTTGCACCCAGAAATCTGAAAAATATGATTGCAAACATGATATTTTATTGATGATTCAGGAAAAATAATTGAGATTACAAAAAAATGGGAAACAAATAGCCAACTGCTAGAAATATAACCGTTGCTATTGAAAAGGCTGTTGATCCAACAGCTAGAAGAGTCAATGGCATGCCAGCGCTAATAGTGCTCTGCAGTAATCTGGGTTGTAAAAAGCTGAAAAGTTCATCAAACAGAAGATCAGTGTACGGATAACAGCTCATAAGCCCGTGACTCAAGGAAGTATATACCGTACCGGCCGGTACGTACCGGTTTTTAGGGTTGACCGAAACGGAGTAAGGATGAATTTCGTTTCGGTCAAAATCCGGT